CATTTCAACACAAAATATCTTTTTTTATTTGATTTTTTTTTTCTTTGTTCTTTTATCCTCAATATGTTTTACGAGTTCCTTACAAATTAGTACTGCCATTTGCACCAAGAAGAATTCTGCTATTTGATTCATAGCTTCAATTTTGCATCGATCTCTTTTCTCTCGTTTATGTTCACTTTTTCGAAGCATTTTTATAAAATTGATAGCATTTGAAACAGTCTATTTCGACAGTGGAGTTTGTTTTTCTCTTCTTAGACCTTTTTCTATGAATTGTATAATTTCGTTTGAGATGACTCCGTTGTCACCACCCACTGATTTGGATTATCATTATAGTTTATTAAGGCTACATGAATACCTTTGTAGATAATGAAAGAGCACATAAGAGTGATTGAAGGAAAATGGGAAGGAATCTACAGCTGGGTAGCAGTCAATTATATATTAGGTTAGTATTGTTAGCATTTTATAGCTTACAATCTGTGAAAACGTCGTCATTATTGCGCTACAGTTTTAGCTTCAATTTTTTACCCATCGTTCTAGAAAAATTCAAAATGGGAAATTCTTCAATAATCTCACGACCTGAAACCGTAGGAATGATTGATATGGGTGGAGCAAGCATGCAAATTGCGTTTGAAATGGATCAGAAGGACGAGTTTAGAAGTGAAAACGTAGAAAACGTAAGTTAATCTTCAAATCTTTTCAGGTGTTTAAAGTTTTATACAGGTGGGCATCTGAATTCTTATGTAACAGCGATGATTTAGGTTCTAACTTCACTTCAGATCAATCTTGGTTGTCGCGACGACGACGACAGATACAAGTACAAGCTTTTCGTCACAACATTCCTCGGATACGGTGTGAACGAAGGTTGTTTTTTAAGTTCTAATTTCGGATGAAAACATTTGTGAATTTCCAATTCTTTTTAGGATTACGAAAGTATGAACAGGAACTTAGTGATCGATTGTTGCATACTAAAGAATCTTACGTTCGAGATGAATGTATGCCGTTAAACCTGCAAAAGGTTATCAATAGAAGCGATGGCTCAATGTTCGTGAGAAAGGTGGTGACTTTCGTTTTTTTTTTTTTGTCATAGCTATCCTTTAGCTTCTTTTTCACAACTATAAGGCCTTTGAAGCCAATGTAGAGGTGTGCTCAATGCTCAAACTGTGAAATCTTCCACGCTTGGAAAAAATAATTGAACATCATATACAATTACTTAAAGCTTCGTAATTTGTTTTATTGATGGAGTCCTTTATGTTGTCGTAATTCTAGGGAATTGGAGATTGGGATGGATGTGTTAAGCAGCTGGCAGAATTGCTC